TGGATGATTAAAACGCAAGATGACCAGTTACGAGCCTCAAAAATAAATTCATAATGAATGAATTCAGTTTCCTGAGCGTACAAATTTAAGTTTTAAAATACCGGGAATAAGAGTCGCATTATTTGAAAATATAAAATGAAATAAGGACAGTAAGAATTCTAACAGTTCCGTCAATGAACTGAATAATATTTTATTTTAATTATACAGAAAACAACACGAGGTCTCTCGAAGTTAGCTTATTGTCACTTGATAGAAACCATCATCGATTTCATGGAATACATAACTAGAATTCTCGCGAAACGTGAACGTTTATTCTAGTTATACGTAAACAGAAGCATTCCAAAAACAGCTAAACAAAAATACTACGCTTTTACATTACAGGAGATGGATTTAAGCAATATGCGCTTAAAAATTACTTTTTAAAGACAACACGTCTATAGAATCCAGCGTCTCTGATGCTACATATAATTTCCAATTATATTATCAAATATTAAAAAAATTAATTTATAAATTTCATTTTTAAAATAAAAAAAAATTCAAAATTATTTATTCTGTCAATTGATTCATGCATTGCCTCCGACTTTACGCAAGTGTGCAAAATTTCAGATCGATTAGACGTTTAGAAGTGCGTTGAGAATCGATCATAAGATTTGTAGTAAACAGAATTATTTTTTCATTAAAAAATTTGTAATTTTTAAAATTATATATTCTGTCAATTGATTCATGCATTGTGTCCAACTTTGCGCAAGTGTGCGAAATTTCAGGTCGATTGAACAGGTAGAAGTGTGTTAAATATCAATTATAAGATTTGTAGCAGACAGACAAAAAAATTTAAAGAGAAGTGTTGTAAAAATAGCGTAAAACTGTGCTGGAACATGTACGATCAATATATCTCATCGCATAAGATTTTTATTTCAATATCGAATAATTACAAATGCTGTTGAACCACTCCAACATTTGCGATAGATTCGAAACAGCGATAGATCCGGCAGTAAAAGTAGGATCCTTTCATTCGAATATATGACGAGTCGAGAATATATGGAGAGATCTTCAAAGGCTTTGACGGTGGAACGGCTTTCAAAAAGCAATAAAAAAACTATGGGCAGAAATTTGAATCTAGTGCCGTGGTCTAACGTTGCAACTCGAGCCGGAAATTTCTAAGAAAACTTGACATTTCCAGGAAATATCTCGACTGAGCTGGATAGCAAGTCCCATGTAGAATGCGATACTCGTTTCGGATCAATAGGAAAAAATAACGCGAAACAATTTGTTATTTGTCCCTAATCCATCTAGTGATATTTTCATATGGCTGGACAATTTATGAGATGACGCCAAATAAACTGTGGAAATAATAGATTAATGGAAAACGGACTCCTTACCGGTTATCGCAGGTATCCTTATAACACTGAATAATCGTTTCAGTCGATCACAATTTTTTGGTTAAAATAAATTGGTTCTATGCGGCTGCCAAAACTCACTGTGCGGATACAAATCAGGTTTTGAGCAGATACTCGTGGAGAAAGTTGGTACATTTGACCAAGTGAGCGCGACTAATTCTCATGACAGCATCTGACCAGCAATAGTTCGGTCCAAACACAAGTGTTCAGGTAGAATGCTTTTTCGATCCATCGGTAACAGACTGTATCGCGCTAAATACTGGTCAAGCGAAGTGACTATCACGAACCAGGGTTCAGAAGATCAAATAACCAACGCGATTTCGAAGACAAGATTGATACATCGTTAATAACTCTTAATTAGGACGCCCAAAACGAGGGAAAGATTGTACGAAGACACTCGTAGAAGGTCGCTTACACGAGACGTCGGCCGCCCGCACGAGAGAGACAGAGAAGGGAAATGTAAGAAATCCAACCTACACAACCAAGCCCTTTCACCTGAGGCCTACAGTGAGGCACAGCGAGCTGTGGTGGGGCGCTCAAGAGCAATGAAACTGCAGGGTATGACACCTGAACATCATACTTAACCTTAACGTGTTGGCGATAGTAAGGCAGTATTAAGGCAACATTCAAGCTACATATATGAGGATAATGCAAGAAACGAAATAAAACTTAAGCAGCCCAATGACAACACAGATAAAGCATTGATATAACATAAAAACAACAGTAAGCAAACAGCACTGAAGCCAAGTTGAGACAACACTAGCCCACTAGGGTGGAATTCTAGGAATGGTGGTTCTGCTGGTTCACTGGTTCATCTATTAAAAATTAATCAAGTCAGGCAACTTTATCAAGCACCAAATTATCTACTTGATAATAAAAGAAAATCCAAGTATAAGATTTTCAGATGCAATATATGAGCACTTGTTCATAGATTACCTCTTCTGAATTCCATCCTGAGTTATAGTACAAGACGCTAGCAACAGCATCGTGCATGAGCTGGCTCTACTAAAGACGGTAGCTATGTTCCACTGGAAGATGTGCGATAGTTATGCTCCACTAGTTGCTGCTACCGAGGCCGTGATGGCGAGGATGGGTGTGTCGGGAATGAAATTCTCAGACGGCGCTCCTGCGTGGCCTGGGACTGCTGCATCAGAAACGGGAGCGCAGCCGTGCACCACCAATTTTGTGCACCAATAAGCCCTTAATCGAACGCCTTGGATATCTCCGGACATCCACCAATCAGCCGTGCACCACTCGGTTTTGTCTTCCTCCGGCCTCGCATAGAACCTGCCGTGCACCACCAGGCCGCGGATCGAATCTGACTTCCGGGCATCGTTAAATTACGTAATTTTACGTTCACCGTATCTAAGGTTAGGTTTCAGATAGCACAGTTCTGTTCCAAAATTTATCGTCCTTCGACAAATGGCCGTTCGACCGAGGGCTGGTTCGACGCACGGCCTAGATACGGACGACTTGAAGTGTTGAAGGCTACGTTCCGGAAGGCGGGAATCATGATGGTCCATTACATCCAGGGCAGTGGTGGTCTTCGGCAGGCGATCCTTAGAAACGCTTACCAAGAACCCCGAGCATTCGTTAAGCATAGCACTCAGGAAGAACTGTGGCGAAGCAAAAAAGCGAAGCACCGCACCAAGTCGGTGTGTGCGTTTAAGCAGCACTGAGGCAGACTGGGGTAACGTTGAGGCAGCGTTTTGGCTGGGCTGAGGCACAACGCTGAGGCACAGCGTTGAGGCAGCTGTTCTTGCATGCAACACTCCATGGCAAGCCTCCCTCTCACCACAGTCCTCGTGAGGCGTTAAAGCTGCAGTGGGAGCTTCAACACGATGGCCCTCAACCCCCTCCTCTCACCTTTTTGGGGCTCCTCTTCCGTCTCTTTCCTTTCTCATCTATACACTCGTTTCCTTCTATTCGTTATCTTTTGCTATAGTTCTCTGACGTTCATTGATCAGCACTAGGTTATTTCTATCATTTGTGCATTGGTCTTTCGCCTAATATTAATCCCCTGCAGTCAGGAATATTGCACGTGCACACAATTATCGATCCCCGTCATTCATTCTTTTTTCATCAATATTAACCATATTTCTCTGGTAAAAAAACGTCTCAACTTAAGTTTCCCCTTCCTGTGATATTACCGTAATTCAGTTATTCTACGTGGCGGATCATAAAGTATCACAATTTTTTTCGTTTCTTCCCAAATTAGTAATTAATTTGTCTCCTTTTTTTTAAACAAACGACATTTATCCATTCAACCAGTTTCTTCACTGCCAGAATAGAAAACCAGAACAATCGCATAAGTCGAAACAGCTCCATTTAATTGGTGGTTGGTTTTCTAAACTAAGAAAAAAACATCCACGTGAAATGGATTCAAGACACGAGTACATCGAGCACAAATCTATCACAATACACATTATCGTTATGCTTCTACTTGGGGAACTCTGCACAGATGATAGATGAAATGAAGTCATTAGAAATGAATGTATAGGTGCTGGTTCGCTGCACGTTGCGACCATGAAAGCCGGAAACCACGAGGGTTCTTTCAATGACCACATAATACTTAAATGAACACCTGGGGATTACGGAAAAAACAATGGCACTGTCGCATCAATAATAACATCGCAAACAGTACACATAAGCACTCCAAATAAGCGAAGGCTAAATACGGGCGATTCAACTCGGCGCTGGAAACCTTCAAAGCCAAAAATAAAACGTTTAACAGACGTACATTCAGCGTCTAAACGTTGAGCGAACGTTGATTCAACGTCAGATACCTGATAACACAGCACTTAGAGAAACACGCAACAGATACGAAGGGTGAAGGCTATACTTACGTTCTGTGAGATGAAACCAAACAGTAGCAATGAAAAAAAAAACCAATGAATTTCAAATCAGCGGGATGTGTTACTAGCATGAATGGTGCATATATACCTCTGTAGAGAATATATTATTGTCGGAAACTTCAACTTACCGAGATGTTCAGAAGCGTGCTCAAAACTTTAGGACGCCACCAGCGTTCGTAGATTGTTGCTACAATATCTATTCTAATTCGAAAGTTAGCGCGAGTGAAAGTTATAGAGTAACATGCGTTACAGACGGACTTGGTAACTTCGTCTATTGAAAGCCTGTTTTAGAGCGCAGGCCATGTTTCCTACTAACAAAAGAGGTCTATGTTTCGAGGAATGGAGTAGCTGGCGAAAGTCTAAAAGATTAAACTGCAACAATCTTGCTTACTTTTTCTAAACGTTTTCTATAATCTTAGAGATCGTTTTTTCATAATGTTTTTCTTGGTAATAACCATTAAACGTAAAGCAATATTAGAATTCAGGCCTTGAGTAAGTGCAGAATACATGTGTAATTATATTATAACTAAATTATGCATGTAATTCAGAATACATGCTTAATACATGTATTTCAGGATACGCTTACGCTAGTTTATTTCGTGCAGTTTGTTAACTAACTATGCTATTAATAAATTATAATGTAATGATAACATTCAGAGATTCAACTCACATTTTTCTCGACGGTTTCCAACTAACTACGCTATTAATAAATTATAATGCAATGAAAATATTCATAGATTCAACTCACATTTTTCTCGACGGTTTCCTTTATTTTAGAGCCAGCTTCTTTGACGGAGGCGCTGGCTTTTGAGAAGGCCGTGCCGAAGAACGAGCCCACGGTCTTGGCAGACGCTGTGGCGCGGCTCGATACTCCAGACAAGTTGAACGATGCAAGACCTGAGCCAACAAATCAACAAATTTATGAATATATATTAAGACATTCCGTGAATATGTTGAAGAATATCCTAGTGGTACAGGATGGATATATAAGACAAGTTGAACGATGCAAGACCTGAGCCAACAAATTTATAAATATATTAAGTGAATATATTGAAGAAAATCCTAGGAGTACAGTATGGGTATAAGACAAGTTGAACGATGCAAGATCCGAGCCAACAAATTCACAAATATATTAAGTCATTCCGTGAATATATTGAAGAATATACTAGGAATATAGGATGGGCATAAAAGTATGTGTGGAGGAACAGTTATGTAACATTCTAGAATTATTTCGCTTACATTTGATAAAATTCATTCTAAGTTGAGTATTTAGTAGTTGCTTTATCATTTCAAACAATAATCAATTGATCAAAACATCGATTCTAACAATACCAATGATGATTGACATAATAATTCGGCGTTTATCAAATTCTTGCTCGATCTTGGAAGCCGGGGGCAGGGACAGGGTTTTTTTCGAACAAACATGGACGATGCTTCACCCTTTTTCAGTATAAAAGCTGTAATTTACCAATACCATAATAATTTACTCATCAAAAGGAAGAAAATAAAAGGAAAAACGTAAGCGAAAATCAACTTCAAAACCCTGCGCGCAAAGCCAACTTCAAAGCGAAAAAGAATTTTTCAAAACTTTATGCCTATAATTTTCCAGCACAGCTGAGCAACCGAAGCCCTAAAGTCTTATCTAACACAACGTCAAAAGCAACAGGACGTAAAAATGAACACACTGTCACGCGAGTTACGAGCCTCCTACTAAACCTGTAAGTCTGGCCATAGAGGTTTATGTCCTGTCTCTTATACACATCTAGATGTGTATAAGAGACAGACATTAGACTATTCAACCACTGTGGCAGTTATTACGTTTAAAATGTTGTCTACGCAGATAAACACTTGATGAGCAGACGTCCCGTCCTGTCTCTTATACACATCTAGATGTGTATAAGAGACAGGTAGACGGGCGAGCAAGACGGCAGACAGGGGCGAGCAAGACGGCAGACAGGGGCGAGCAAGACGGCAGACAGGGGCGAGCAAGACGGCAGACAGGGGCGAGCAAGACGGCAGACAGGGGCGAGCAAGACGGCAGACAGGGGCGAGCAAGACGGCAGACAGGGGCGAGCAAGACGGCAGACAGGGGCGAGCAAGACGGCAGACAGGAGCTAACAAGACAGTAAATCCATTTGAAAAAACTAACAGGTAGAAATAGAATGCAAAGCAGTACGAGAATCAAAATTGAAACACTTCGCATACGTGCCACGTAGCCGTATAGCGTAATGTAAAGACACGCAATTTCATCTGGGATATAAACCCTCCAAAAAGGTCACTGTTCAATGTTTACTAAATCAATTCCGTTAACGAACACGTTTCTAGAACATAGAACTATACGGTCCAAAACCTTGATTTTCATACTCGATTGTGACCCTATATCTTCGTCAGCAAATTTCAGATACACGTTACCACTTATTGTACAAATACAAAAAATGCGGCTAAAGAAGCACATGTTCACAACACAGTTAAAGCAACTCAGTGCACCAAATTAAAATTTAATTTAAAAATTCAATAGTTTTTACACCACAATGGTATAAATATAGATGATAAAAATTACGTCAGTAGCGCGATCGAGTTCGCCATCTTTGCCAGCGTTGTAAACCCTGAAACGAGTTTCAATTTGTACTCAAATTTGACGGAGACTGGGGATTGTGTTTACCTTGCAGTCAAGTCTTGATTGCGAGTAAGATTTTTTCTCCAAGTACTGGAGCGGCAATTAGAATATCAGTGTAAAAACTGCATCTTTACACTCAGTGAACCAGTTTATTATTCATAACTATTAGAGCGACTGCGTACAAGATTAGAACGAATATAGCGTTTTATTTAATATATGGTAAATATCATTTTGAAGTCTCAATGAGAAATTTTCTGGTTTCGCTTAGTCAATATTAGTCCAGAAATTGCTGGTTAGAGATCATACATGGTTAAGCTATATCTTAGTATTTTGGTCTCGTTATTTCAGCTCAAGCCGCAATGAAATCTAAATCATCTGCTTGGCTGACTTTAGATCTGATTTATCTTCGCCAAAGGAAAACTTCTCGATGATGGACGCACGGAGGCGCGAAACGCGAAGTTTGGAAGATAAAGGCTCAAAGTTTTACACCCACGTGTTTAAAATATGCATAACGATCTCGGTTAAAGTGAAACAATTCGCTAATATAGCTTAGCTTTGCTTAATTGAACATCGAGGGGGCAAACTTCTTGACACGCAAGAGGCAAAGTTGGCAAGAAAATCGAGAAAGTATCTTTGCGGATTTAAACATTTTATGAAAGTTTTTCTACGAAGTAATAATGAAATAATTAACTGGGTTGTAGCTGAGCTGAGGGCGTATAACACTTCATGCTTTTGGAGCATCTAACAAGCAACATATAGGAACTAGAAACATATAGGAACAAGAAACATATAGAAACCCACACCAGAATAAATAGTTTCCTCAACCAAAAGCTAAGGTGAATTATTTCTGTATTATTTTATTATTCAGCACTGTATTTGCTAAACCTATTTTCCGAACATAGTTATATTAATTATGATTTTAAAAATCCATACAAATCATCAAATTACAATTCTTTTGACATTTTCATGCCCATAAATTAATGAAATTTAATAGTATTTTGAGTTTTTATATGCGATGCAGCCTAGTCAGGAAGAACAGTATATACAGTGGGGGGAAATAAATATTCGTACACTTGAAAAATCGTATTTTAATGTATGTAAGTACACAAACTTAACAGGAAAAGTGATTTAAATTATGTATAGAGACGCATAGTATTCAAAAATACTATCAAAAGAAATTAAATCTCAATGCAACAAATCTGTTGAGCTGAATAAAGGGTATTCAACCAAGTATTAAATTAAAACAATGCGGATTTATTGTTTTGTACGAATACTTTTTTCACCCGAAAAGTGAACATGTTGCATTGTTTTTTGTTGCATTGAGATTTAATTTCTTTTGATAGTATTTTTGAATACTATGCGTCTCTATACATAATTTAAATCACTTTTCCTGTTAAGTTTGTGTACTTACATACATTAAAATACGATTTTTCAAGTGTACGAATATTTATTTCCCCCCACTGTATATATAACGGCGCACGCTCGGGATGCCGCCCTCGATGAAGAAAATAACCCTAACAAAAATTTAGAGTCGCCCCAGCTTCTGGTAAATCAGAAGCTGCCGCGTCTGTAAATTTTCACTGGGTATATGGACGGTGGGCGACAGCTGCGGCGTTAGCGCTGCCTCGATCATTAACGGGCCATTTGCCATCTGAGCTCCACACACACACAAATGTCTGCATCACCATCGCCACATCCCATCATTTTTTTAAATAGATGAAAAATATGATGAGGTATACGCATATTATCTTCAACCACTTTAGCAATATTGTTTCAGCATGTAGCGTAAGTAGAAGAGAACTATGATGTGTGGTATACAACTATACGGGTAATCTCCGAAAATGTAGACACTATTTCATCACATAAATAGTGACAGTTTATGAAAACAATACGGTATTTCATCATATACTGTGAATATTTGAAAATTAAAATGCGGTGTACGTGTAAGCTCCCAAATTTGCTGTGCGAAAACGAAAATATACCGGAAAAAAATTCCTTACGTTCCTTGGTCAGTCGTAGACAAACGTGCGCAAAAAAATAAAAATAAAATAATATTATTTCTTGCGAAACGCGTAACATTATTTGGCATTAAACACAAATAAAAATCATCTTCGCATATGATTTTTGAAAAACTGAATGCAGAACGATAATTGCATATCTTTAATAGCAGTCCTTTCCTTAGTCCTTATATTATTAATTGATCGGCATTATTCTTCTGACATCATCAACTGACTAATCATTCTTCAACGTCTAAGCATCGGAAAAAATATTTTGCAACTTTTTCAAAGAACAGAACCTTGAAATAAACGAGTAGCGGGAATGTATGAGCGCTCAAGTGCTTGTGGGAAAAACTTATTCAAACCGCACAAAAGCGTTCGACGTCTGCAGTAAAACTGCAGGTACAGAATTTAATATCATAGAAAAATACACCAAACCGAATAGTTTAACTAAATTTAAGTCATAGAAAATACACCAAACCGAATAGTTTAACTAAATTTAAGTCATAGAAAATACACCAAACCGAATAGTTTAACTAAATTTAAGTCATAGAAAATACACCAAACCGAATAGTTTAACTAAATTTAAGTCATAGAAAATACACCAAACCGAATAGTTTAACTAAATTTAAGTCATAGAAAATACACCAAACCGAATAGTTTAACTAAATTTAAGTCATAGAAAATACACCAAACCGAATAGTTTAACTAAATTTAAGTCACAGAAAATACACCAAACCGAACTGTGGAAGAAAAATATGCATCAAGGCAAAGAGCTGTGTCCTGACTCGGCTCGATTACTACAAACAAATTGATATTTTCCATAATTTCTTTCTGGAATATAAATTTCCGTAAGCTTTGCTTGAAGCCATGTTTATAAACTGATGATAAAGTTGATCCATGTCGTTTTCTTAATTAAAATACAGAGAATTTTGCAGCTTGGATCTTGCAGCTATATTAGTTTTCAAGAATAATAATAATGAATGTAAACAACGTATTTTATTTCATATCAACACGTACGAATGTAGGTAATCTATGTCACCCGTACCAGACGGAGCGGTAGCTAGAAATGCCATCAGTATATGCACACTGTTAGAAAAATTACCGTTAACGGTATTATACCGGCGTTTCAGTGGCCGGTCGGCATGTGAAAATAAACACCGCGTCGCCGTTTTGATTATAATTTTACGCTTGAAATCCGTAAAACATCTGATAAAAACGGCGAAACAGTTTATTTTCACGGGGCGACCGGCCACTAGAATGCCAGTGGGACCGTTTTTTCACCGTTTTTCCTAACAGTGCAATGATAACCCTGTGTCTACGGATATATTCGTTACTTAAAGCATATGTTATTCGTACTTAATGGCCTAATATAAAATATATTTACATGTCCATAACTACGTCAGTCAGTCACAGACAAGAAATCTGCCGCTACGTGTACTTAGGCCGCTACGTGCACCGTCATTTATAGTATGGAACCTGCTAACTATAGTATCATGAATAAACTGAGATACCATGTAACTAGAGTTAATCTCAACTAGAGTTACCATAAATAGTAGCTAAAGAAACCATGAGAAACTAGAGTTATCGTGAGTAACTAGAGTTACCTACCGTGAGTAACTAGAGTTACCGTGAGTAACTAGAGTTACCGTGAGTAACTAGAGTTATCGCGAGTAACTAGAGTTACCATGAGTAACTAGAGTTATCGCGAGTAACTAGAGTTACCGCGAGTAACTAGTGTTACCATGTGTAACTATACATATCATGAGTAACTAGAGTTACCGTGAGTAACTATACTTACCGCGAGCATACAAGTTACCAAGCTCTGCTCCGCAGCACATACCTGACGCGAAGCCAGCCTTGTTAGCGTCGCCCGCGGCCTCCTCCTCGTGGTCGCTGGGAGGGTTGCTGTCCGCACCTTCCGTGGCACTGCAACAAATATTTACATTAATTATGCAATTATTAATGTAATTCAACATTAACATTACAATTAACATTAATTATGCAATTATTAATGTAATTCGAGCCTACCACCAAGGAGGCTCGAATTGCTTCTTAAAATGATGAAGGAATAAACGTGTGGTCCTCATCCCGGGCAGCTGCTGTATTAGAAAGTGGAACATTGTATTGTATTATACATTGTTTCTTCATATACATTGTTATACATTATACTGTATTAGAACATTGTTTCAGCATTTAGCGAGAATAGCATGTAGCGTTGCATATTAACAATTAATTGCGGCTTAGTTTCGACACCATTGAAGATAATAAGAATAAAACCGGCCATAGAGAGTTGTATGTCTCGGGAAATTCAACGAGAGATTAGAACAGAACAAGGATCTTGAACAAGCAAATTTAGACTTTCATGCACAATTTCTTTCCAGAAGAACATAATAGCGGTTATAATAATAATAATAATAATAATAATAGCGGTAGGTAATAATAATTTAGCGTATAGTAGGCCTGTCGACGATTCTTAACATCGAACTCGCTGCTACAATTCTGCTGTGCTTAACCGCCCGGCCTCCTTGTCGATTCTGCCCAGAAACTGTCGCACAGAGCTGGGTTCGAACCCGCACCTCTCTGCGCCAATCTTGGTACCGGTAGTACTCTGAACTTTAACCACTTGGCCACCTTGCCGGGCGGAGTTGCCAAAAGTAACCATAAGTAACCAACATGAAACGACAACAAAATACAATAATCACGCTAACATGGTAAGTCTGCTTACTGATCACTATTTGTTCGAGATCGGTCACTCGGAACTCGAACGAAACCGTACCCACAAATATATTTAGGTTAGATAATGTCTCCCTTAAAATGCACACAAACATGTATTCCCAGAACTACCGCAAAGCGGCATTTTATCTTTGCTTTGATCCACCTCTCGGACCACAATAGGTGAATAAAACTACAGAAGAACTCACCTAACGAGCCTGCCTTCAGCCACCTAAGAAGAGGTGAGTAGACCTAACAAGCACTCACCTAACGAGCCTGCCTTCAGCAACCTAAGCAGAGGTGAGTAGAACTAACAAGCACTCACCTAACGAGCCTGCCTTCAGCAACCTAAGCAGAGGTGAGTAGAACTAACAAGCACTCACCTAACGAGCCTGCCTTCAGCCACCTAAGCCTAGACCTAACAAGCACTCACCTAACGAGCCAATCTCCCACCCTAACGAAGTAACGTTCCCAGTCAGACGCTAACTTCGTCAACGTGGGCAGGACTCGCCCCGCGGAGTCACTGTTATCTTCGTCAATGTTGAATGTGTCGCGTGTGGTGTCATCACCGTTAACATTTGCTGCCTCACAAGCCTCACTGGTCGTTATGTCCACAGAGGAAACGGTTTCCTCAGATTGTTCACTTTCCTTATTCATATCGAGGTTAATTGCAGGTTCAGCATCGAGGGAAAAAGTTACTTCAATTCAAACGTCATTTGTGATTCGAGGTTCCGCAAGAATATTTTCGCAGTCGCCAGCTGCCATTTAAATACCTACAGTTTGACACCAAAAAATTTCTCGTGAATGCTGAATTTTTCCTTTGTGCGCTGGCTCGTTTAACGTAAATTTTCAATTTGTGAGGTCATAGTGCAAACTCCACCTGCATGGTACAAACCTGGAGCCGAATTCAAAATCAATTGTACCAATGCCAATTATCTTTTTATTTATTGTTTTCGATTTATGAGTCTCCGGCCACTTCCTATCGTGACTTTCTCTACTCAGATCCATAAACTAACGGCTTAAATGATCATCAACCACAGAAGCAGAACTGAACTCCTATTCTCGACTAATTCAATAGTACAAGTTTCGATCGAACCATGGCTATCAAGGCTTCTTATCACAGAGCGCGACATCTGGTCGTATAACAGATCTTCACGGAATAAGAACCATGTCCATTACAGCAAGAAATGACAAGCAATAATGTCTCGGTTATTTAAATTATTTTCTGCCGACATTGAAAGTTTCTTCTACAGTTTTGAAATTCTTGAAGGAATAGGAGATTACATTTTGGAATTATGCATTATGTTTGGCAACTTGTAGAAGAGTCTACGTCTTTCAACGTTAATGTGGGGAAAATTCCAAGGTTGAATTTACCCACAAATTGGAGATTGACTTGCTAATTGGGTTCTGTTGTGCATGTATTAAATATATCAGTCATAGGACGAAATAATTAAGCAATACGGCGGTGATCGCCTCATAAACATACTCATAAATTATTAAAATATATCCAGGACATTGGTAAACTTTTCAAAAAAGATTAATGATGAATGTCAGCATCTTTTCTCCATAAAATATGAACTTCAAAGCAATGTATTTAATGGACGGCCAGTGTGCGATGGACGCCGCTGTAATAACCGTCATAACACCCATCGTCAATTTAGTTCAACTAGTGTAGAATTGAAGTCCTTAATGTTATTAATTTTCCTGCCAACTCCCTGAACCTGCAACTAAAACAAGGAAGTAAGTTAGTTCGTTTAACTCGTGTTAGCAGGAAAGTTGGCCAGAAACTTTACTGGCGTCAAATCTCGTCATGCAATTCACACTCGAAATAATGGTTCCGTAATTTGATTTAAACTCCAAATTAAAATAATACGGAGAAAGTTGGTAGCGTAAATATAAATACCATCGTATTGAGAACTGACGCAATTATTGGAACACGATTAAGGTTAAAACGACCCGTTCGTGCTAGCTATAGTATAATCTCTTATTGTTAGTGGCACTAGCGTACTTAAAAAATAGTTCAAATACTAACACCATCTTCGATATTATATCAATTAAACATTAAATTGAAATGCGCAAATATGAAGGAAATTAATCTTTAACACAATGCAGTATAAATTATCTATTGGGGCGTCGAGTTGTATGATTAAAGGTACGATAGAAGATGACTAGCGATTTGCAAAGCAAGATAACGAAGACTAAAATACAACCCTATATAGTAGGTACGTTTAGGACACTTTTGGTGAATATTCAATTCACTACTACTTAAATTTATACCCATACTGATACATATGTGATTCGCCCGAGCCTTTCCAAGTAAAGAACAAAGAAAATGACGACACGTACGAACGACATGCGCAGGTACAGTGCCAATTACATAAAAGTCGATAAACTCCATTTACACACTATATTTTGATTACACCTACGAAACATATTTTTATCTGTAATACATTCATAAAGCTTCATTTGAACCGAATAAACTCTTTGCAACAGACATAAAGGTGTCTGAAACACAACACGTACACAAACGCTTTAATTACAAAATACTGCATTCATTGATATCCACAGGAATTGGGCTTACAACAACGCGAGAAGAGAACACACATCAAACGTATATCATACATTAACGCACTATCAATGATACACTAAATTGAAATAAAATCATAATGCAGTTCGGAACTAATTGCACTTAGACGCAGTAACTGATGCCAACGCTGCAGCCAGCTGAGAGAGACTGCGGGAGCCACGTAAACAACCTGTCTGGCCCAGACCTGACATGACCGTAGCAGCTGTTGGGATTGTACTTACACTGGTGCCGCACATGTGCTGCTACCTGCTATTACAGCTGTTATGATCATGCGTACACTGATGCAGATGAACGATAATCAGAGGCGGCGATCCATCGTGGCCTGGGACTGCTATGTCCCAAACAAATACTAAGGATACTAAGGAAATATACCGTACAGGCTCAGAATGAAGAGGCAGCAGCCTAAGCAACGAAGCAGGCAGAAACTGCGTATCTGAAAATTCGGCACTGCAGCTGCTTCTATTACAGGCTCCCAGTCCTTGCTATGACTATTATTCATTGTCTAATTATTCTAGCGAATGAATGTTCTTAGATTGCGCGAAATTTTCAAGGAAGAGACCAGGTGGGAGCTATCTGAAGCTGATCAAAATTAATGTCCCAATCAATTACTCGTAAGGGTCACTAAGGCCAATTAAATCAACTTGCCGTTTATAGTATGGTGATAACTTCAGACTAATGATTGTGTGACTAAAACATATAAAAACATTATCAAGTATATAATCCTTTTGATTCTTCGATTCCATTTACACGCCATAGACACATTTGACCAGGCTTCACATTAACACCACCCATACCATAACACTGAGAAAAACAGCCTTTTTTGCTAATCTAGTTGTCTCATCAAGCATTTGTGATAGAATCAAAAGATTAAACTAAGAGCAAGCTGATGTACTGTAGGTACTGAAGCTTATTCCAACTGACCCTCAAAATTGACTAACCCTTAATCACTACAAAGCTGTTTTGATTTGAGAAATTCAAATTTTAATATAATAATGTATATTCAATGCATCATTTAACATTAGGCTTACTATAAATGAATGAATTTGTTGAACTCTGAACCTTCATTATTTAAAAATCTTTCACTGGAGCAAATGTCCAGTAATGAACACTTGGGACTGCAAGGTAACACCTGCACAGCCTCATGCTTGAAGCCAATCTGAGTCATGGCAATGAAGACCAAAACCTTGTGACCTGCAAAATTGCGCACTAACCTCCAATAACCAAGAATATATATGAGTCATCTAACTTTGAAGTATTCAATTTAATATGACATTTTTAAAAAATAAGACAATTCCATTGTATTATAAGACATTCTATATTAAGTGGTATGACTTGCAATAGATGAATTAAGTTATAAGATTAGTGTATAAACAATTAAGTGGGGTATAAACTTATATACCCTAATAACAACACATAACTAAAAAAAAGCATATTCCAAAACAACAATGAAAGGATGATCATCCCAGTTTGAATCACGATTGCAAAGTCCTTGCAAAGATGCTGAAATGTACAATGTTTTAAGTGCCAAATACTCTTGTACAAATTTGTAAGATTCAGCATTTATATTTATACCTATGACTGGCAATCATCTTGAAAATTACCAAAAGAACTTGATGAAGTCTGATTGAATGATATTTGGGTATTATTTCCTGATCATCTGCTCTCAAATGAGAAATCATTCAGAAGCAAAAATTTTAAATAATTTTCCAAACATGAGAACACAAGAATAAGATTAAGAAATAATCTTCCAGTCTGTACATCAGGGACTCATTATCATGGCCTTGATAGTAGTGAATTCCTGAAACAGCCAGCAGGAGTGACATGGAGACACTCTCAAGGCAGTGACATGGAGACACTTGCCCACCTTCAAAGGGGGGCAAGACGAGTTGACTTGACTCAAATATATATATACTCCTCAGATAAAACCAAAACTACATATTATCAGATACAAGAATTTCATGGCAGAGGATATGCAGAACAAAAAAAAATGCAAAACTTCAACAAGCCTAGGGCCTTCAATGAGCATCAAGCTATACCGGTACATCTATTCTTTTAACATTCCATTGTACACTAATATTCTATAATTAATTGCAAAATCAATGATGCAAATATACAATTTTACACATGGCAAACTCTCACTGACAGATAAAAATGACAAATTTCAAGTTTCAATTTTAGTAAACTACGTACTGTTACCTGTTGGTCAGGTCTGGACAATATTAAATATCATTGTGGCTTAGCCTAAGGTCCAAATGATGATTGATTATAAAGCCGTGATCAAAATTTCCATACTGCAAATTTATCTGTTAAACCGTGCCTTGATTTCCATTGCAGAAATTGACCAAAAAATGTACATTTTTCCCATGATTTGTGGAAGCCTCTTGTGAAACAATAAAATTCAAACAAGCTTTTGGAAAAAGCTAGCCATTTTCAAGAATTGCATGTAGTCCCAGCATCAGGAAGAGAAATTCTAGCAGAATTTTTATGCTAAATATGGAACTAAGTACAAGGTGAAGACTCTGCATTCTCTGCTTACTCTCTGCACCAAAATCTCTGCTTTGCCACTTTGGTGCAGAGAGTGAGCAAACATCTGGCAAGCTTTGACAACACTACTGCATAAATTCTATAGCTTCAGGAGATTTTGCCAACACATTTCTCTAGGAATAACTCTCTGCAAGTATTTTTGACAAGAAATCTTGATGACTTCAGTCAATTTGGCACCAAATTATCAATAATCCTAAGGACATTTTGATCATGAAACCCTTATCATGGCTACACAATGTCCAAAACTCTGCATAGTTGGCCAAAAGGTTTTCAGTTCTAATTCAGGACCTATTAACCCATTTTTAAATTTATGAAATTTAATTTTTGTCTAATACTGTGCACATTGCAAATTAAATATAATAAGAGATATACCGTGGTCAAATAGAAAAATAAAAAGTTTCAAAATATTTTAGTTTGATAGATATTTATCCTTGTGTTCAGCCAGGGCTGGAAAAGTCCTATTTTTGTCTGAAATGTCGCGGCTCTAATATCATATAATTTCAGTAGGTATGAAATCTTGCGGCTCGAATGTCATAAATTTTTGTTTGATTGAAAAATCGCAGTTTGCACTTCGCAAACATGTCACTTCATAAAATTTTCAACTTCCGCAATTGGCATTGCTTTACCGTTCCCACCAAAATATCCTGCAGAAAAAACATAAACATGGTAATGTAAACAAATCAAATAAAAGTTTTGTTGAAGATCGCGCATAGTTGCGGTCATGACAAAGTGGTCAGACTGCATTAACACATGCTCAACTTACAGTAAAGACAAATTTTATCGTTGCCATTTGACTGTTCAGGGTAAAATTAGAGATTTGGGGCAACACGTGCATGGACTTTGTAAATAAATTTGCGCCTTGTAAATGGGTTTTCATTGCCGATATATGGAATTCATGGCTAGGTGAAATGGAATCACGGCGGCTCAAAGAAATGGAATCAAGGCTGGCAAATCCATAAAACCACGGCTTGAAAAATTCAGTTACGGCTCGCCAAGTAGATATATTCTATGCCTGTGTTCACTGTTCAGCCAGGTTTGGAATACTGGGCATGGCATGGGCAGAAGTTTCCTAAAAGTGCTGGTAAAAACAATCATTTCAAGGGTGATTTTTAAAAACCTAAATAAATTTATCAAAAGGCCATATGTCCAATTCACATTTGGCTTGACTAGCTTCTACCCAATTTATCATTTAGGCACCCTGCATCACTGACTTAGGTCTTAGGCCATCACTGTCCATTTCAAAAAAAAAATCAAATAAGAAACAAATCTAATTTCCAAGCCATGAGTAATGAATCATGATGAGCAACTTAAAGCTGTTGAGTGTTGAGCATTGTCCAAATTTTTATGACCATAAGATTTACAGTAGCTAAATTATTTTGTATCCAATTATTACCTAAAGTTCTTCATTGAGCAGCAAGAATATAAGAATCCAAAGAAAATAAAAATTTGTCATTTTTGGAGCCTTAAATATTGCAAGCTTCTAATGTGTAGGAATTTATCAATCTTCATTACTCTTGGAGTCTTGGTAATTGACACATTATTTTCAAATTTCAAGTTCATGACCCATATTGGCCACTGTGCAGAGAGTGGATGAATATTGCAAGATCTTTGGCGACGCTTCAGTAGCCAAATTTTCGCCTTCAGAAGATCTTGCCGACACATTTAGATTGAAATTCTTGCATTTAATATATTTCTCAGTCTTCGGCCAACTATTTAGAAAAAAGTAAGGTTTCCGGTACGTTGGATGGATTACGATGCAGCGAAGCTTGTCTGGAGATCAGTTGCGATGAGTTCCCGCAAAAAATGTAAACAATTTTTTTTTATTGCGTAGTTTCGGTCCAGGCTGTAGAGTAGGGCCTTTTAGCTCGAGATATCGGCGTCTTTTCAAGCTCTCCATCAGCCACATCGACCTTAAATTGGCGTCCATGGCCGATCATAAACTATGGCTCAGGCAGCCATGACCGACCAAACTATGGCTCAGGCAGCCCCGCTGTCACCGCGCCCATCTTCAGCTTGTTTGATTGCTTGTATCTGTCACCTGATCACAATGTGCATACGTCTGGCAAGCCCAATGCTACTGCTGAAAAAACTTGTCAATCTATTGTGTTCTAACGTGATCTATTGTGTTCTAACATGATCTATTGAGTCATTACTCAGCGTAAATGGCTTTTCATTAAAAATTACCCGGCGACGCATCTTTAAAATGGCTGGCGACGCTTTGGGCTTAAAAATCCATATATTGGCGACGCTGCATCCACCCTCTGCATAGTGGCATATTGGATTGATACTTTTTTTGCTTAAAAGTACTTACCCTGAATGATTTGAAGCTGCATCTTCATTGCCACCAGCTGATCCTTTCCCTGATTTCTCTGCGCCTTTAGGAGGAGCAGTGGACGGCTCCTCTTGTTTCTGAGGGGACGCAGTCCCATCTTTGGAGCCATTCCCATTGCCCTCTCCTTCTTCGCTCTCTTTATCTTTCTTAAACCAGCTACCAAGACTGGATCCTAGTCCGGACACTTGATTAGTTACACTTCCAAACATGATTTGATTATAATAAAATAAGTACTAGGGTTCGGTTTGAAATTCAAGCAAAGAACGATGAGACACCAGTTAGCATATGCGGTAACTTTCATAGACACCACCAACACCCACGGCACTGCAATGAGCACTGAGAGACGAACTGTGTTTTGCTGACGACTGAAGGAATAAGCGCCGAGAAATCGATAGAACTGTCCTTGACAGCAGATATCGGAGTGAGCCTGGAATTCAAACCTAGAGCTTTCGAAACTTTAATTCGCTTCTTAGAGGTTCCGGTTCTAATGATTCACCCGTCAAGAGAACGTGACGCAATTCTAGCATATGAAAAATCCTCAATTATACTGCTTCCAAGGAAACGTTTATCAAGAGATAAATTATGCAAACACAGTAAGCATATCTTCTAGTTCTATCATTAGAAGTTAAATGACGATGGTATTTGACACATCGGCCTATCAGTCAAAATTAGCAATGATTAACAAAGGAGATAGTACCTTAAAATAGATCAGGAAAATTTATTTCGCTTTAGTTAATTGAGAGGATGTCGTGTTACTCATTTTACGATTTATTTCCTAATAAAATCATAACTTTCCACGTACGAGTACATTGGCAAAACCGTTTAGGAAGTTAACGTCGCTTTCACAATTTAATCTTTAGTCGTTATCTTTCGGCTGACCCCCGCAACAGATACTCAAGTTGCCAAGGGTATTATTTACACTATTTTTGATAGCTAAATATTTATTTCTAAAGAACACATTGTTTACACTACATTAAATTCTCAGTTCCAGTCTTTTCACATTTCCAAACTTGCCGTCCAAGATCCCACCAGCTCATGATTACTCGCTTTACCGGTATCGTCACGACGATTAAACGTAGAGTGAAGACACTTCTTTGTTGAAAAGATCAAATTTATGACTTTTTAATATTTTTTTTAAAAATATCGAAATCTTAAATGTTACAAAGAAATTGTGTTTTGCTATTCCGTTCGACTGGCCATCTCATCGTTCGAAGCGAAGACTTGGCTTTGCGTCATTAATTGCATTCGTCACACAAGATGTATCCGATCACAAAAGATTACAAAAAGTGAAAGTTTTTCAAGCTTCTACTCATCACTCACAGTAGTCCAGCCTTGATTACAGGGAGGTACATATAGAGGAAGCATTCGCGTATTGCAAGTTTTGAGAGGATAATATGACAGCATGACAGATGTAAAAAACGGTCTAACAATCTAAAATGAAATTTTAAAAATGTCAGCGAGAGTAAATAAGTAAATAACCCATCCATTATCTTCTACACACGGATGACTTGATAGCGCCTCCAGCTAATCTGACTCAGCCATTATAATAATAATTAGAATTCTATGTAATTGAACTCATTATACAGAACTACAGAGTGCATTTTGAAAGTAGTGAGCATTTTCTGGCAAATAACATGTATTAATCGTAATTTGTACATATGTTCAATATTCTTCAAAATACATTCATCCTGCATCAATGCACTTGCGGAGACATGTTTGCCACGCCTGAAAGGCACCCTGAAACTCCTCGACGGGAATGCCTCTCATGAACGTTGTAACATGGTGTTGGATGTTAAAAGGGATGAGTTTACAGTTTGTACTTGCGTTACGAACTAACAATGGACTATTCCTCAAATGTCAAAGAAGACAATGATCATCGTTTTGATCGCAAAACTTCGCGCACACGATCCACGTTCTCTTCAGTTGCGGTTGTTGCTAGGCGTCCAGAACGGGGTTCATCGGCGACCTCCTCCCGGCCCTCCTTGTGCTACTTCCCAGATTGTGATCTTGAAGTGCAATCGTTATTGAAGGCTTATTGCAACATCTGAAATGTTTCGGTTGCATTTTTTCGAAGCCTCGCGCAAAGCTTTATGGCGTATCGTTCTTCAAGCGAACGCTCCATCGCGCTGTGTTACAATGGTTGAAAACACTTCAGGGGTTGCGTATCTCCGCTCATACCGCTTGAACTAAACTGACGATCGGATGCATTGAAAGGGCATATTCCCCACCACATTTCACAGCGTCACAATAACATTATGTTCATTACTTTCATAATGGACCCTGTATAATGACATCTACTCATCTGTTAATCAGTGAAAGATTTCATCATTTACTTTGTATTGAAGCGAACAAAGATTGCGTCCCAATCAGTTTGATAGCAAATCAATAATAATAATATAGTGGTTTCAGCGTTTGTTAGGCCGTAGGCCTGTTGCCGATTCTTAACATCGCAGAACATTCACAGCTTGTTGCGGTCTCGAACTCGCAATTCACTGCTCCAAATTCAGCTGTGCTTATCCGCTCGGCCTACTTGCCGATTCCGACCAGAAACTGGCGCACAGAGCTGGAATCGAACCCGCGCCTCTCTGCATTAATCTTGGTACTTTGAACTGCCACCATGGGGTGCCCTGCCCAGTCTTTCTTTTCTGCTCAGTCAATCTTTTCACATTAATTACTGTAGGAAGAGAATTTCTGCCAACAATGAGCAATTTGATTTTGACAGAACAAAATATTCAGCTAAACACCGATAATATCATTGATTAATGCTAGAAAAGGGCAGAATTGCAACCTTAGCAAAATGAAGGATGTATTTTTATTGAACTTATCAATATTATTAGTATAAATGAAATCCGCACTAATTGTCCAATTCTGGCCGATTCTACATATTTCAGAATTCTAGCAACTGTCTGGGGATTAGAACCGGCAATTCAATGCACAGGCCACCTGGCCACATCATCGATTTCGACGAGAACAATCACAGAAAGCTTGAATGCAACACGCAACTCACTGGATCAAACTTAGTACTCTGAACTGTAGCAATTTTGCGACGTTGCCTTCATTTGACCACCCAACACAAAAATCGTCCATGTCCTGAGTCTTGGCGATGCTTTTAGGTTTGAAAATCATCTAAATCTTCAATGGACACCAGAATGAGGAAAAAATATGTAAATGAAAGCAAAATGCAACCGAAAATAATTGGATTTGATTTAAATCATGAAAATGTACATCATAATTTGTACAAAATTATTCTCTTCAAATGGCCTACGCCTCCCACCTACACAGCAAAGCTGAGGTCTTACCCGCGGCCGAACACCTCTCTAGGCTCACAATTCCTTACCAGTGCCCTCCGACCACACCATCCCAGCTACCCTATCGTCACCCAGACATCGGGGCCCCGTCCCATGCAACACACGCTTCAGACCCGCTTCCTACCTTCGGTCTCTCACCTGCTGGAGGAGGGGTCCCTCCCCCCTGACTCCTACTCCACTGCCCTCTGCATCCTGCACAGCTCTGCCGTCTCCTCCTACCAGGCCTCAGCAGCTCCTAACAAGGTGTTGCTGACACCTGCCCCCTCTATCTCATCCAGCCAGCTATCCCTCCCCAGGGCGGCCAGAAGCGCCCTTTCATAGCTCCCCTCTGTCTACTCATCGCGGTTCAACTCGTATTTTGCCCGCATTGGTGCAGCAAATAGCTCTCTCTGCCCTGAGTGCAGCGCAATGGATCATACCACCCATCACCTCTTCAGCTGCCCATCGCACCCCAACTCTCTTAATCCACTGGACCTCTGGTCTAACACTGGACTGACAGCAGCATTCCTCTCATCACTCCCATCCTTCTCCGACATCATTAGAGTGGATCCACCACTCTCTCCTCCTCCCCTGGAGCCACCGCCTTGGCGGGGGCGCCGCCGAGCAGCAGTTCCGGACAACTAACAACAACAACGACAAAAATATTCACAGCCATGACATACAATTATTAACAGATAAGTAAACAATAACCTTAACTATGCACGGGTCATTGGGTTTTGTCTCAAGCTGCCACCTAGCATAGGCAGAGATCGCACAATCGGCTCTTGTACGATGAACTTTAGTCTGACTTCTTCACCAGCAAAACGCAAAGAATCACACATTGCAATTGAGCAGTGAAGTTTGGCGTAGCTGTCCTCATGCACCCGTAGGATAAAACTGGAGTCATTTTTGTCCATTTTCATGATTTCAAGGTCTCTGCATGCCTCTGCCTGAAACAAAAGAGTTGGTTGTTACATAATTATGTATTCATTACAATAAAAACTTAACCAGCTTTAATACATCTGAAAGTTGTGTAGGCATGACAGACTAGAAAATATATGACTATTTCCTCAATTTATGATTAGGCATAATTTTGCAAAGCAATTATCACTCTAAAATTGAGGTTATATACATACATCACATATCTTCACTTTAACAGAACTTAAATTTGTCAAATAAATCATTCGAGTCTAAACCATTTCAAACATACTTTCAATCTGAGGGCAATCAGGGCAGCCTCATGTTCTTGTACCATGAATCATGGATAAAAATATTGAGAATATACTCACAGCACCAAAGCGTTCAGTGACAATCATTTGTAAGGAAACCTTGAGCACTTCAGGGCTAAAAGGACATGGCTGATTGGACAAGCATTCCCTGTAAAAAAAATAAAATTAGATCACTAACCACATCATTCTATTAGTATGTGCAAAATACTGAACCAAAACACTCTAACAAGCAACAATGGAAATATTTAAGATGATTTTTGTTTATCAAAGAGAAATTATAAGATATGAATACTACAATAACAAAAATTTCATGAAAAAACATTCAATAGAAATTAATTAGGATGCTGAAATGTCTTGATCAATGAAATTGATTAATGAGTAGAAATTCAAGAATATGGAGGTAATTGTAATAAATACTCCAGGTAGTTGTAATAAATAAGAAACCTAAAATAAATAAACAACAACTGCAAGAATAGATGTCCTGGACTGCCATGAGAATTGAGGAAAATAATGTTGAAGGATAAAATATGAAAATACACTTCCTTTTGCCAGTAAGTAATTAGGTGATAAAATAGTGAATTTTGTCTAATGACCTGAATTTAAATAATTATAGTGATTCCTAACATCAGAGTTAAAGAACATGATAATATACAAGAAATTAACCTTCAACCACTTACAATCATTGTGATACATTGAAAATTAAAATTGAATAAAAAAATAACAGTACTAGTACCAGTACTTACATGTGAACTATAAAATAGCAGTGCTGAGAATGTAAGGACTTCATTCTTAGTTGAGCTTGTAATTAGCAAGAGTTTTTATGCAAGATTTTTTTATTCAAGATTTATGTTGTTGTGTGAAAAAACACTGAAATGTGCTTTTTATGATATTTAAAACGTTCTTATTAATAATACCAGTCTGCAGGCTGGTGACTACCTAAGGCTGATTGTAAGCCAAACACATCTGAAAATAATGAAAAAATATTAAATTCAATCCAGTTAAATTAACCCTTTGGCAACTAGTCATCTTACTGTGTTTGAAATCAGGGCAAACCAGCAAGTTACCATGCCTCTGAGTCTAATACTTACCATCTAATAGTTACCAGTCACGTGTCTATTGTAATAATAAAAATGTCATTCCTTAAAAAACTTTAAAATTAAAAATAAAAATTTGAAAATGAATAGTAGTTTTGATTTTAGAGCATAAGCACCTAAATGAACAATTTTTCCTATACTAAGATTATGGAACTAACCATTTCTCTTGAATTAAGATTATTGAATAGAAATAAGTGCATTAAACTTTAATATTAATTCCAGTGGATAATTATTTCAATTAGTGCAATATATACATACATATTATTCATATGGAAGTTCCAGTTTCAGGGCTTCTGCTGATCTATTAAGATTTGTGTACCTGTTCTCCATGTATTACCCCTATTCTTAAATTCAATCTTACAAATAATCTTGTGTTTCTTGAAACCATGGACCTTTGGCTAAAGCTCTTTAATAACTTCATCCCATGGCCCATGCATGATGAAATTCTATAGGTATTATAAAACAATGTGGTATTATGAGATTTTGAACCAATAATCATTATGGTTTACAGACCGGTCCACAGCACACTAGCACCTTCTTTCACAAGACACAGTGGCATACTGAATAAACACTAGACAGCATTGGTAAACAACAACAAAAGTTCTAAGGATCAACAGACACAAAATTAGAAATTTTTTAAAATAAAAGTACTTATCAAATACAGGGTTTAAGTCATTAAATGCATAAAAAATATCAAAAATTCATGTTTTCACGTGGATTTCAATGCTGTTAACATTGAAAAACTTCAAAGTATCTCTCTTATCATATGCAATTGTCAAAAAATTATAATTTTGCTTTATTCATTGCGCAAAACTGCTTATAGATTCAATTGGTCTGATCAAATGTATTGTTAACAAAAGTCTATTGACATTGATTGCTAATGTAAAGAACTAGACATGTTTTTATGTTACTAATTTATCATAAAAGTCATATCTTCACATTTTTATGCTGTTATAAGTGAAATTCATCACCTGAAATAAGAATCTTCAAGTAAAACATGAAAACTAATGTCCCATGAATTGCCTCATTACAAGTGAGTAACAAACACAAAGTCTATCTGTGAAAAGTTTTCTAGGAGCTACAGCCATAAAAGAAATTAATATAGAATAACATTACTTTGCCGTGAAATTTGTGAGCCGTGAAATTTGAAATATGAACAAAGGAGAGAAGTGTTTTCGAGTTGACGTCATACCAGTTGATGTGCACCTATGAAATTTGGTCTTTGTCATTTGTCAGACATCAGTCACAGTTGGCATTTTGCAACCTAGAGAAGTAAGTAAGATACGGTATTATACTAGTCAATTCTTCATTTTACAATTTATTTTGTGAATTGCAATTTGTGTATGCAGTATTGTATACCTATGTGTACAGTGTATGTTGCTCGGCCAACTCCAAGAAAATAGCTATTTGCTCTAACTCAATACTACGACAAGTAGACAAATAGGATAACGAAACTTGTAAAGTTATACTTTGTTCTTGATATGAAATCTCCGAAAAATAATAAAATTTTTAATTACTTATTTGAAGTCAACTTCACATTTACCTATTTAAATATCAGAAATTTAGATTTTAGACTATTTGTCTTTGATTAATAATCACGTAAATTATGTAATTCCTAACTTAGGTTGGTCAAATAGTCCAGTTTCCTGTCACTGTCACAGTGTCACTCACTGGTGTCCAATTTTGGTCCCCTCCTTCAGAAGGGGACCAAAACCAGGCACGGTGGCACCCTTTGCCAAGACCAAAAAGTACTGTCAATCCTAGAACCTAGGCTAGAATTCCACTATGAAAACACTGCTTGCATCCTCCTAGGGATTGGGAAAAATCTACAGGATTGTCTTGTCCACATATGTCGTGTCTGAGAAGAGGCTGCCCAAGAAAGCAGAGCCTCACCTCCCCAACAAAAGCCACTACGGTACCAGATAATGCACAGTAATTTAATATGGTAAATAAGGAATTCAGCACCAGAATGCAAACCTGAAGGTGTCCTCAGGTTAGCTTTTACTCGCCCAGGTTAGTCATCATAGCCATGCCCTACATTGCGCCACGCATGAGACTGTAATTAATGCTAACTAAAGGTCCAGCCTGGGTGGGGGCAGCCTGGAGCTTCCCATGGCTCAACAGCCAAAGCGTGAAAGTTTTTCTCTGCTTGCCAAACAGCTCAACGAAACACCATCTCCTGCGGGTGGGATTATGACAGAATAGGGAAGGCTTAATAAAGCGGGGAAAGAGTAGCACTCCTTACAAATGGCAGTCTCTACTTACACAAAACTAGTTCTTCCCAAATCTATTTAAAGCTGCATAGAGTGCTCTTCTTTCAATTATGTAAGCATACAGTTGAGTGCAGGGGAGGTAGTTTAAATTTAGGTTGTTGGTTTCCACAAGTGTTAGATAAATTTAGTCTACATAAGGGTTAACATAGTAAAAAACAGGATACCAGGCCAGTAATTAGCTTCACATAAAAGTTTCTGGAGCATATTAGTTGTAATTAATGGGGAGGCAACTGCATTTACAACTGCATCCTGGGTTACACTAGGAAAAGCAAAAGTGGTGAATGATTTTTGGCCTTAATTTGTCTGGGTTGTTGGATAGTGCTCAAATTCTTTCAATCTTCCAGTAGATGCCAGGAAAAGTGATACACATTACATTATTTCAGATTGAATCTGGGGAGGATATTCTCCTCCACCCAGCATACATTTCATGGTTACTGGGACTCCAATTGAATGCAATTGAGTCTGCATAATTGTGCAACTCTTAGCATATAAAGGACATTGCAGGAGAAAATGCTCAATCGATTCATCTCTCCCACATGAACAAAGAGCTGGATTGGTAAGTTAAACATATATATATATACAGGGGCTTCCTTAGACCAACATGTCCCAACCTAAATTTTGCAAAAGCAGTTTCCACGATTCTCCCCTTAAATGATGACTGTGGCCAATATCCCACTTTATCCCTTATCTGCATTAGATGGTGACCAGTGTTACCGTCAACCGGGGCTAATCGGGACGGTTTTGAGCGTTTTTTGTTAATAACTTCTTACGATGAAACATTTCATAAACAAGTTTAGGCTCATTTTATAGCTCTTTGTGAGGGCTATCGAATGGCATCTTCAAAAAATTCCATATGCTATTCGTAAGGTGCCAGAAGCAAAAAAAGAGTGTCCCGAGTAGCCACAAGCCGACACCTGGGTGCAACTTTTATGTAAGTAAAATTTTTTAATATGGCGAATATTTTTTTTGCTACAGACCTTAGCAGAAGTAACTTTTCAAAACAGCGTTTTTCACCATTTTTTTCAGGAATTTTTCAAAGCTAGTAAATGTCGTATTTTTTGACTGCCTTCATACTACATAGATAGGAAAAATGTTGACGTTTACGCCACTATATTTAGTTTTGCAATATTCCAATTAGTTTCGCTACTATAACAGTTTTACGCCGTGTCGGAGGTGCGTCCCGAGTTGCCCCGCCAGTCCCAAGTTGCCCCGGTTGACGGTAGTAATAGCCAACTTTTGTTTCCAGTCTTCCTCCCGCTGTTGCATGACTTCCATTATTATCTTGCCCCTCTTATCCTCCCTGCACATGATAGCCTCAGCTGATACTTCAGGCAGTGCATGGGCAGCTTTAGCTGCAAGGTCTGTCATCTCATTTCCCTTGATGTTCTTGTGGCCTGGGATGAACTGGACCATCACTGGAAAACGAGTGCAAAGCCCTGGTAACATCTGAGGAATTTTAAAGACCAAGGGTAAATGTGATGTTGGTTGTTGGGATGTTAACAGGTTCAGACTTGATAATGAATCTATGTAGACCACAGCTCCACTGCTACCCACAGTTGACAGTGCCATCGCTTATCATTTGCACAGCCTGAGCAATGGCAAATAGGCTACCTCACAGCTCAAAATAGATTACTGAGGGTTTAATTTCCAATTTTACATTTTTACCAACCTTCTCTCCTGAATCATTACTGAAGCAGTTGATGAGGGTTCTGGATCAAAAATTCTTGAACCATTGGTCAGTATGGAATTCTGTATAGGTAATATATTATCATGTTAACAAAAGAAAATGTATCGAAAAATTTACCACCTCACACCTTCCACCGAAGTGACAATTGATACTCTTACACTGAGCTCGTCAGAAACTGCGGACACCCGGACAGCTGCACTTCCTTTAACTCGCTTGCGTGTGGTTCGAAAACCGATAAAAAGTCGGCAACTCTTCCCTCCAATACATACACTAGTCGTGTATCCGTATCGACAAATTTTGTAGAAGAATATGTTCCAAAATAAAAATTACGTAAACTTTTGCAGAAAATTCTCACAATTTCATCAATACCAACAAAGTTCTCAAATCCACACGGAATGATGGGATAAACTGTTAATCTTTCACGGCGTATGGCAACATTGTGTTGACTGTTGACATTAGACAAGACGGTGTCAGACATCTTGTTTTGGTCTTGTAAAGTTCAATTTCATAATAGATTTGATCCACATTTCACAGTGACATTTAAATGATGGAAAATTGTTTCAAAATTTAAACACCAATTGATACGCTTCTAAATACGAATTTATTCATGTTCTCGCCTATAATGTTGAATTTGTCTTAATAACTTCACTTCAAATCCTGAATGATTTTGTCTCCCATGGCGAGTTTTCGAACATCTTGTGTCTTTTAGAAAACGTTGGTTGTTTATAAGCAGTAATTATTTCATCTTAATGAACCAATGAAAGTTTAGTCATCGAAATGACAAAATCATTAAATATAAAATATCAAGTTATATGAGTGAGATCCTCTATTATCAAAGAAGCTGTAAGAAAAAACTCGTTGTTTTTTATGTAAAAGAATGTTTTTAATTTAAAAGAAATGCAATACTTGATTTTCAGAAATATGATGCAAAAATTAATGATCCCTATTAGAA